AGAGGTTGTATGTACCCCAAAATTACTATGTTGAAGTTCTAACATCTAGTTTGCCAGTGTGTGGCCTTACTTGGGAACAGGGTTTTTATAGAGGTAGAAAGTTAAGACAAGGTCATTGGAGTGCTCCCTAATCCACAAGCCTAGTATTTTTATAAAAAGGGAAAATGTGGAGAAAATTTGGAGATTCACACACAGAAAGGATGTATTATGAAGATGAAAGCAGAGATTGAGTTGATGCTTCTACAACCAAGGGACAGAAGTTTGCCTAACCACCATAACTCTGGGAAGGCCATGCAATTCCTTCTTCCTCCTAACCCTCAGAAGTAACCAACCCTGCTAACACTTCTCAAACTCCTAGCTTCCAGAACTATGGGACAATAAATTTATTCAACTGATTAATTTGAGTAATTTTTATCAAACTGTTTTCATCAACGATTTTTAAAACTTGGTTCTTTTTAGGAATCCATTTCTCTTCTGAGCTTGCAAATTTACATAATTATTTGCCTATATTTTCTTACCAGTTCTTTAACATATTTGTAAAAGTTGTTTCAAACACTTTGCTAATCGCATCACTGGAGCAATCTGTGATCTTATTTATAAAAATTTTTGTCATTGCTATGGCTCAAACTTTTTTATTTTATTGTGTGTCTATTAATTTAAAAATTTTTTAGATTGGTCATTGTGGATGAGTAATGAAGAAATTCTAAATTTTTATCTTCTTCCCAAGCTTTTTTTCTTTTTTTGGTGGCACTGGGGTTTGAACTCAGGACCTGCACACTTGCTAGGCAGGCATTCTTACTGCTTGAGCCACTCTACCAGCCACCACCCTCCAATTTTTTTGGATGGATTTTTTTGAGATAGGGTCTCATGAATTATTTGCTTGGAGCTGACTTTGAACCTAGATACTCCTGATCTCTGCCTCCTGAGTAGCTAGGATTACAGGTGTGAGCCACCTGCACCTGGCCTCCCAAGAGTCTTGAGTTTCATTCAGGTGGGCAGTGCAGGTGCACTCTTCCATGTTGTGGAATTTTCATTTTTGGCTCTTAAAGGTAAGTTTATTTTAGTTTGCTTTTGGTCCTAGGGTATAGCCCACAGTACTGGGCTATAGTCCTTACCCAAAAAGCATGAACCTTTGTTGGCTCCAGTGGAAAATGTGAGGTACTTAACATATTCCTTGAAAAGGTCTGAATAATAAATTCTATGGAAATCTCCACTCTATAATTTTTTTAGTCTCCAATTAATACCTCCCCTTAGGTTCCTGGAGGTCTTGTATGCTTTACAAGTTACCCAAGGATTTGAGAGGGATAGGGTTTTTTATGCAGACTTGATGTTTACCCCTATTTGGCTATCTCTGTTCCTGGATTTTTCCTCTTAATTTAGAGTCACTCTGGAAACCACAAATTCTCACTTCTATATCTTCGACATATTGCTTTTTGCCTGAGATCTATTAAAACTTTTATTGGCACAAGGGCTGGCCTGATACAAGCTAATTTGTGATTATTGGAACAGGTTAAAAAACATTTCTCTAACCAAGTTTCGGGGTCTCATGCTTGTAATCCTAGCTACTTGGGAGTCTGAGATTGGGAGGATCACTGTTCCAGAACATCCCAGGTTAAAAAGTCTGCAAGACCCCCATCTCAACAGAGATGGTGGTATGCAGCTGTCATCCCAGCAATGGCAAGAAGCTTAAAATAGAAGGACTGAAGTCCAGGTTGGCCTGGGCAAAAAGTGAGACCCTATCTCAAAAGTAACGAGAATTAAAACTGTTGGAGCCATGGCTCAAGTGGTAGAGCACCACCCTCACAAGTGTGAAACCCTGAGTTCAAATCCCAAAACCAACTAAATAAGTAAGACACCATGGGATGAGGTGCCTGACTGGTTAAGTGATGGAGTGCTAATGTAGTAAGACATCAATGTATTTTGGTCTTAAATTTTCCATTTAGAAAGGTGTGTTTGGCATTTAAATTGGTATAATACCCGTATTTTTTTTTTGGAGCTTCACATAGCACTGCTAGTCAGTCCTCAAGATTTTGCATGGATGAGAAATTCAAGGGCCAGAAAGTGACCTGGAATCCCTCTTTATCCAAGTGTTAAGCTTAGGCTACATAGTCTTAACTTAAATGCCTTGCCCAGACCCAGAATTCAGCCAACTGAAAGCGATAATTGCAAACTTCCATCCTCCCCTGGTTTCAGGCTGAACACATCCCTGTCACTACTGCTTTCTTACTGGGCAGAGACATGGGTGGACACAGCTCTCAATATAAAATATACCTAGGAGCATACTGGTTTATATACAGACACACCACATTTGTGAGACTCACAGTGACATCCATATGTACACCAAGGTACAGATATGCAAAGACACACATACTGATGAGCTTGTGAGACAACACACACAGTGTGACATGCAATGGAGGTACACTCAGACTCACAATTGGACCTATGTGATCCACAGTCCCGCGATCTTAGAGAAGGGCTTACCCGCACCAACCCAAATTGTGAGAACAGTCACACACAGGTCTACAGCATCACCTGTACGAGACCCTGTACATAAGCACACTGCTACACAGAACACACCCGGACAGTCAGATAGAGATGATACTATGAACTATCTCCAGTCACTCATACAACATACAGAGGGGCATAGGCACAAATAGGCACCTAGTCATTCATTCAGATCTGTATGACTACAGTGAGCCACACGTGTATACATGAGTGCACTCCCAGACACAGATGCCTGCTACACACATCCAGACACATCCCCAAACTGTTGATGCCAGCCACATAAAGGCTAACAGACTTACCTGTGCTCAGGTATATGTATACTGAAGACACTCCAGTATCTTAGAAGCACACCCAGGTGCAAGACACAGATCAAAAATATGAGGCAAAAGCAACACAAAGTCACAAATGAGCTTAGTGGTTATGCACACATATACAAAAACCTAGACCAGAGAGACACAAGTTCACATTTACACAGAAACTCACGTATTATGTAGCCAATGGCTACTGTGAGAGTATAACATACATACATACATTCACAGATGTCCAGAGAAACAATGACCAGCTAACACACACACACACACACACACACACACACACACACACACACACACAGAGTCACAGTCAGATTTGCAAGGCTCAGTGTCACAGTTCCACACCCTCGCAGGAGCTGGGCTGGAAAATTGTGCTGTTGAACGCTGGTATTGCACTCATCAAGGGGAGTCTAGTATAGCTGTCCCAGCATGGGTTCTAAACAGAGGTGACAAGTGAGAGCCTGGAACCAAGGCTAGGCTGGTGTCCAGGTGGGAGTCTGAAGAGTTTAGAATGTGCCCCAGCCCACCCACCCCAGATCGATTCTCAACAGGAAATAAACTCCATCTCTAGAGTTCTTCGGCCTCCTCCTAACCGTGTGACTTGGGACAAGTTAGCCTACCTACCCATACCACAGATTTATTTCTCCAATGCGGGTATAATAATAGTTATCAAAACTATTGAGCAGTTTGCCAGAATATATATAATGACATTTTGGAAGCATGGCTTGGCACATGAGAGGAGTTCAATAAATATTAGCTGTTACTAACCGGCTGTGGTGGTATACACCAAAATCCACGCACTTGGGAGGCTGAGGCAGGAGGACTTCGAGTTGAGGCCTGCTGGGCTACATAGCAAGACCCTATCTCAAAAAAAAAAAAAAAGGTGCTCAGGCCTGTTATCCTAGCTACTCAGGAGGCAGAGATCAGGAGGATCGAGGTTCGAAGCCAGCCTGCCCTAACAGTTCGTGAGACCCTATCTTGAAAAAACCTATCACAAAAAAGGGCTGGTGGAGTGGCTTAAGATGTAGGTCATGAGTTCAAACCCCCGTACTGGGAAGACAAAAAAAAAAAAAAAGGCCTCTTACTTTTTTTGGTTTTAGTTTTGCTTGGCAGTCCTGGGGTTTGAACTCAGTGCCTCGGGCGAGCTAGGTAAGTGCTCTACCACTTGAGCCACGCCTCCAGCCCAGCCTTTTATTACCTTATCCCTGTGTTAATAACGGTTAACATTTAGAGCACTGGGCCAAGGCTGGACTATCACCCAGGCTCTTTCCAGCGCCTTGAGTGGACTGCTACCCGACCACCTGGCCTGTCAGAGCCAGCTTGAGACTGCTTGTCCAGAGGGGGAGTCCTCCAGTCTCAGGAGGCACAGGAGGCCCGGGCCCGTGGGAACCCCTGGAAAGCTGCACCATCGTCAGTATCCCTGCCGCCAGGACCCTAAGCCTCTTCTGCAGAAAGATGTGGGTGGGAGCCCACCTTCCTCCACCTGGAGACGTTGGAAGAAGACAATTCCACCCGCCTGGGCGCTGATTTTAATTAGACACCAATGCAGCCGCCCACACACACCCCATATAGGTAAACAACGCCGTCCCCAGTAGGGCGCGAGACAGACTCAAAGCGCGGCCCTGCGGCTCCCGGAACTACAGTTCTCAGGAGCCAGTGCTACACACTCGGCCTGGAGGGCTAGGCAGCCCCGTGTCTTCGCGCCTCTTGAGAAATGGAGTCCGACGCCTGCGCAAAGACTCCTGGGAGGTGTAGTTCACTTCCGTCCCACGCAGGCGCACATTCCCGCGGCGGCCGCCGGGGCTGCTCTTTGTGGTGGTCTCCGTGCTTTTGTGGGGTTCGGGTTGACTTATTGCCTGTCCTTCCGACAGTTCATTCGTTCGCCTCAGGCTTGTCTGCCGGGCTGTACTCTGTGCCCGCTGGCTCCGGAAGCCAGAGTCCGAGGCCTGACCGTGGCTCCCTAGCGCGGGGTTCACAGGAGGACAGGCGACAGGATGGCCAGGCGTGTGATGGGGCCGGGGCGTGAGCGCCGCGTGGGTGTCGGAGTGTCTGCGGACCGGTGTGATGTGGCGTGAGCCCAGTGTGCGGGGCGGCGCGTGGCTGAGCCTGTCCGAGCCGAGCTCAGGCTGGGCGGGGGTGGCGCTCATTGCGACCCCCGGGGCTGTCCTGCAGGCCGCTGTCCCCGAGCCCCAGCAGCAGGACACGCTCTTCTAGAGCTGACCAGGGGCCCTGTGGCCTAGTGACGCTGCCTAGACGCGCGCGCCATGGAGACCACGGTCCCGAAGCCCGCGGAAACTGGTACAGCTTGGCTCCTTTGATCAGTGGGTTTGTGGGTTCGCACTTGGGGAGACTGACCAGAGAGGTCAGACTAGTTTACCAGAAGCACCGGGCTAGACTGTGCTAGAGCTGAGGCTTGCTGCCCGCTGAACCTGTCTCTTCGCCGGTTCCTGGCTGGGCCAGGGCTGGGTGGGCTTCAGCTCGGCCGTGAGCGGGTGACTGTGGGCAGATTTAACCCATTTCTAGTCTCATTTTTCCATCCCCAGCTTTTTCCGCTCCGAACCCTACTTCTTCTGCCAAAGAGAATCCAGAGGATAAATCTGGTTGGGGTCTCCTGGAAGCCAGATCTGAGGTGAGTGACTGTCTTTTCCTTCTTCATGAAGAGAGTGGGCACATTGCCCAGATCTGCTGCAGTCAGCTATGGCCTGCACCTGGGGACCTGCTCTTCAGTCCTCAGGAAGTTTCATGTTTAGTGAGAACAGCTTCAGTTGAAAAGCTTAGATAACACGCCCCCAGGTGTATGCAGGAGATGAACTGTCACCAGTGGCCCTTCCAGCCAGATTCAGTCCAGTAGGTGAGCCCAGGAGCTGTGCTGGCAGCTCTAAGAAATGGTTGTGGCCAAACCTGAGCTTGGGATATGGGGTCACTTTGCTCCCACTCGGGTAAGAGTGATGACGGGAGGCGCCTGGCATGGAAAAATCTGGAATTTTACAGAACCCACAGGCTCAATAAGGAATTGGTCCTGAGGCCAGTTCTGCAGCTAAGTACAGCCCAGATCCCTGCTTTTACAGTTTTTGGACTTTTCTCCTCATTTTGTTCTAGCAGCAAAACCACCCAGCCTGTGGTGGTCTTTATAAAGATGCATTTGGCAAAATGAATATGAGGTGATGAAAAGTGTAGAAGATGGAGGATCTTTTGACTTCTTTTTAGAATTTTGTGATTGTTAATCTTCCACTTGAAAGAGGTGAGGTGTGATTCTACAGAAAGCTGTGAAACGTATCTTGTGAGATGTGCCGAGTTTCTGGGATTTGTTAGAATGCTCTGCAGTTGTATGAAACACTCAAGAAACAAGGCAGTCAAATGTAGGGTGAGATGTCATGATGTCTAAAACTTTTACATGCTTTACTCAAAAATGTGTGTGCGATGTCTAAAACTTTTATATGCTTCACTCAAAAATGTGTGTGCTTGGCCTCCTGGTGCTTACCACAGTCTGTGTTCTTACACTGACTGTATAGAAAGAGGAGGCAAAGTAAACCTATCCTATATACACCTCAGCCCAGGCCTTGTGCCTGGTCTGTATTGTGAATGGGGAGACATTAAAAAAAAAAGGAAAAAAAAATGTGTGTGCTTGAGCTGGGCATGTGTGTATACATATAAATATCTCAAGGTGGTAGCTCCCTTTTTGATTATACCTGAAAACAAAAGTTTATTCTTTTATAATTGAGTAGTGAGTCCTGTAAATATCAATTAAGTCAAGTCGAACAATGGTGTTATTCAAGTATTATATCAGTTTTTGCTTTATGTGTTTTGAAGCTCTTTTAGTAGGTGCATCTGTATCTGGGATTGTCATAAGCTCTTAATCCCTTTATGTTATGTCTGTCTCTCTGATACTCCTTGTTCTGAAATCAGTTTTGTCTAATTTCAGTGCATCTACTTCAGCTTCCTTCTGTTTTTATTTATTTATTTTGCAGTACTGGGGCTTGAACTAAGGGCCTTCACCTTGAGCCACTCCACCAGCCCTATTTTTGTGAAGGGTTTTTCGAGATAGGGTCTTATGAACTATGTGGCCAGGCTAGCTTTGAACCATGATCCTCCTGATCTCTGCCTCCTGAGTAACTAGGATTACAGGCATGAGCCACTGGCACCGGGCTTATCCTCTTACTTTTAAACAATGTTTGCATTTAATGTGGGTCTCTGGAGCTGATGTATAGTTGAACCTTACTTAATATTTTTTTAAACTTGATGCTAACAATTTTTATCTGCCTGTCCTGAGATCAAACCCAGGGCCTTTTGCACATGCTAGGCAAGCACTCTACTACTGAGCCTGGGTCTTACTTTTCTATTCAGTTTGATAGTATTCACCTTGGTTAGACCATTCACATTGAATGTAATTGGATTTCTATCTGCCATTTTGCTGTCTGTTGTCTTTTTTTCCTCTACTTTTTCCCCCTTAATGCCTTTTATTTTGAGGTAAACAAATACTATTTTAATATTAATACTATTATTATTAATATTATATCTTAATATTAATACTATTTAATATTAGAATAAATATTAAAATAAATAATAATTAGAATAATATTCTAATACTTTAATATTAATACTGTTTAATATTTAATATTTTCTTGATTCCTGTGATTTTATCTTTTTCTTTTTAGTTACTTGACTGGGAGCTAGACATTGCAAATGTTCTTTGTTGAGTGCTGAGTTTTTTGGAATTTCTAAGATAGTTCTGTGATTTATCCTGGGAACACTGAAAATACTTAGCATCAGTTTGATCCTTTCAGGAATCAAAGCAAGTCCAGAGTAGAGTGCCAACTGGGAAGGGGGTCTGATGGTACACAGGGAGGGGGTAGATGTGAGACAGGAAGGAGTAGGAGGCAGTCAGGTGAGGACACTAACTCTCTTGGTCCCTTGTGGCACAGAATTTGCTGATACATTCAAAGTTTCCTTCCTTAGAGTATGATAATCATTTCCAGCCTGGAGTTGGATCTTATTGCAATGGTGACTTTTGAAAAGGAAAAGAGCTGCTGGGCTGTTTGTACTGTATTTATAGTACTTCATACTGTACTTTTAAGTTTTGTAAGTTGGAAATTCTCAACCCCAGAAAGCATAGCATCCCACCCGGGATATGTTATAGCAGCCACCTGCAGTCCCCAGAACCGCCAGGACACCATAGTGTCCATTCAGCTCACTGTCCCAGTGACTCTGTGTCATTTCAGGAATCAGTGACTTTCAAGGATGTGGCTGTGGACTTCACGCAGGAGGAATGGGGTCAGCTGGACCCTCCTCAGAGGGCCCTGTACCGGGACGTGATGCTAGAGAACTACCAGAACCTTCTTGCCCTTGGTGAGCTTGGCTCCCTGGAGGCTGGGCATCTGTTTTGGCCTTCTTCCCTATGGTAGATGTTATGAGGATTCCTTCAGCACCAGTGCTGCCACTAGACATGGCAAGTCTTTGAAAACATGACCTCTGTCTTGGGACACCTGGGTCAAGAGGCTCCACAACATCAAAAGTCCCCACACTGCATTTTGATAGCTGGCAGATCCTCAGAGTTGTGATTGGTCCCAGAGTGAGGAGCATGGAGGAGAGGGAGGTCTGCTGGGAGGAGGAGAGTAGGACCATGGACACTTGGAGCCCATCTAACCTGGCGCTTTCCTCAGTTGACAAAGGGAGAGTGTCATATGGGTTTCAGAGTGTGCACATGGCAGTGCTTCTGAGTCCACTTACCACTTTGGGGCCTGGAGGGCTTCCTGTTTCCTACCAGTGGCACATGCTTTGCAGTGCCTTGTCATTGCTTGAGGTCATCCTACAAGGTCAGCTGGGCCTGAGAGCCGCAGCACAGCTAGCTTCATCACTTTCTCTCCCACAAGCAGGGCCTCCAGTTCACAAGCCAGATGTGATCTCCCACCTGGAACGAGGTGAGGAGCCATGGCAAGTGCACAGGGAAGTCCCTAGAGCGTCTTGTCCAGGTGAGCAGGTGTCACAGGAGAAAAGGTGACAGTCCCCTCACTTCCATCTCTTCCCCTACCCATCATGCTCCCATTTTTCTCCTCAGTCCCACTGCTCTGGACCCATCTGTGCCTTTCTGTACTGCTAGATCCTCCCTCCCTTCAACATGTATTGAGCACCGAGTGTGTGCCAGACACTGTGCTGGGAATACAGCCATGAGCAAAACTGGGCCAACGTCTGCCTTCTGATGGAGGGTGGGAGACAGAAATACATCCATGTTTATGTAAAGACTTAACAAGTGTTTGGGCTGGCAGAGTGGCTAAAGTGGTAAGAGAACCTGCCTAGCAAGCATGAGGTCCTAAGTTCAAACCCCAGTACCACCACCAAAAAGAAAAGACTTAACAAGTAGCATTTGTTAGTGGGGTTGAGAAGTCATGTGTGTGGAATTGGGAGTCAGGACTTTCCTCACTGAGAAGAGGAGGGGGAGAGGAAAGAGGATGGAGGGAGGGAGCAGGATCACAGCAGACATACCCACCCTCCATGACTGAAAGGGAGCCCTGAGCCCCCTAGCAGGAGGCTGACATGGCTCTTCTCAAATGTTTTCTCTTTTAGAGACTTCTAAGTTGGCTAATAAATAAATTAATTAACTAATTTCAACATAATGTAGTGGACAGTGAATGAAATGCTAGGCATCTAGAAAGCTTGAGAAGCAAATTTTTGTGGGAAAGAGGACGTGAAGTAGTTAAACACAGCCACAGAGCCATTTGTGAAGGGCCTGGCATCTGCAGTACAGAGGTGAGGCAGGATCTCTGCTCCTCAGCTCTACCCCTTCCACAACTTCCAGTTCTGCAATGGGTGCAGTGGTGACCACATACCCAACTTCATGGACTTTGGTTCTCATTCCAGTTTCTGCTGACCTCTCCATTCTCTTTCCCAAGATGACTTTTTTTAGGTCAGGTGCAGTGACTCAAGACTATAATCCCAGCTACTTGGGAGGTGGAGATTGGAAGGATCGAGGTTCAAGCCCAGCCCCAGGCAAAAAGTTCACAAGATCACACATCTGTAATCCCAAATGTGCAGGAGCCCATAGGTAGGAAGATTGCTATCTGAGGCCTGCCCCAGGCAAAAACAGAGTCCTTAGGGCCAAGGGTAGGGCTTCAGTGGTAAAACACAAGGCCCTGAGTTCAAAACCCTAGTACTGCCAAAACCAAAATTACTTTTTAAAGGAATTAATGTTCTTATTCAATTAATATATGTGCATTGTGAAAATTAGGATACTACAGAGAAGTACTGAAATCCCCTATAATCTTTCCACCTAAAGATGGCCATGTCTCATTTCACTATTTCCTCTCATTTGCTCCTCCACACATCTGGCTTGCCATATGTGCAGGTTCTACATCTGTGGGTTCATCCAAAAATATTTGGAAAAAAATTCCATCTGTTCTGTACACGTACAGACTTGTTTTCTTGTCATATTTCCTTAACAGTGTAGTCTAACACCTATTCACATAGCATTTACCTGGTGTCTGGTATTATAAAGTATACAGGTGGGTGGACATGTGTAGGTTGTATGAAGTGTTGCACTGTTTTTCCTAAGAGACCTGAGCACCCACGGGTTTTTGGTAACTGAGAGAGGCCCTGGAACCAGTCCCCTGAGACTACTGAGGGATGACTCAATACAAAGCACACACCACTGGACTCCTGTGCACTTGGAAATCTTCCCTTCTCCACTCACCGTGATGGGCTGAGCATCACTGTGTGCTCCTTATTGACTGCACAGTATCCTGTCATATGGATGCCCAGGTATTTCAGCAGCCCTGATTATCGCTACAACTTTTTTCTGGACCTGGGCTGTGGAGAGAGGATTATGAAAAGCCTCTGGGAACTGGACATAAGCAAGGCACGATGTGGCTAAATTGCTTTTACCTATAGGCCAAGATAGGCACAGCCCCAGCCACGAAACAAAAAAGCAGAACAGCTGCGTCTCCTAAGTTTAGGTTCAGAGAAACAGGAACGCAGGTTTCTCCTGTTACAATGTCACACCCCTCCCCAAGAACCTCTGCTCCACCCTGTTTGCCACTGTCTATAAAAGGCCCGCTGAAGGAAGACATGATGGGTTTTTGGGGGCTTTGGCTTGGTTCTTTTGCTTTGGGCCTTTTGGTGTGGGAAGCTTTTAAAAGGGAAAAGAATTACTAAAGGGAAATTGCTGAAGGAAGAAGAATGGCTAAAGAGGGGTTGATAGAAAGTCTGCACCGAGAACTTTAACACAGGCCTTAGAAAGGCTAAGCTAAAGAAAAGCCAAAGACAGAACTTTACAGTGCAAGTCTGAGCACCAAGGCTTTAAGAAAGCTAAAGAAAGATGGGATGGTGCAAGTCTGGGGGCAAAAGACTTTAAGAGTGATTAAGCTAAAGATAAGATAGAGAAAACATGGAACAGAGCGAGTCTCAGGAAAGAGATTTTAAGCAAGGTTTTTTTTTTTTTTTTTTCATTTTTCTTTTATTATTCATATGTGCATACAAGGATTGGTTCATTTCTCCCCACTGCCCCCACCCCCTCCCTTACCACCCACTCCGCCCCCTCCCTCCCCCCCCCTCAATACCCAGCAGAAACTATTTTGCCCTTATTTCTAATTTTGTTGTAGAGAGAGTATAAGCAATAATAGGAAGGAACAAGGGTTTTTGCTGGTTGAGATAAGGATAGCTATACAGGGCATTGACTCACATTGATTTCCTGTGCGTGGGTGTTACCTTCTAGGTTAATTCTTTTTGATCTAACCTTTTCTCTAGTACCTGTTCCCCTTTTCCTATTGGCCTCAGTTGCTTTAAGGTATCTGCTTTAGTTTCTCTGCGTTAAGGGGAACAAATGCTAGCTAATTTTTTAGGTGTCTTACCTATCCTCATCCCTCCCTTGTGTGCTCTCGCTTTTATCATGTGCTCATAGTCCAATCCCCTTGTTGTGTTTGCCCTTGATCTAATGTCCACATATGAGGGAGAACATACGATTTTTGGTTTTTGGCCAGGCTAACCTCACTCAGAATGATGTTCTCCAATTCCATCCATTTACCAGCGAATGATAACATTTCGTTCTTCTTCATGGCTGCATAAAATTCCATTGTGTATAGATACCACATTTTCTTAATCCATTCGTCAGTGCTGGGGCATCTTGGCTGTTTCCATAACTTGGCTATTGTGAATAGTGCCGCAATAAACATGGATGTGCAGGTGCCTCTGGAGTAACAGTCTTTTGGGTATATCCCCAAGAGTGGTATTGCTGGATCAAATGGTAGATCGATGTCCAGCTTTTTAAGTAGCCTCCAAATTTTTTTCCAGAGTGGTTGTACTAGTTACATTCCCACCAACAGTGTAAGAGGGTTCCTTTTTCCCGCATCCTCGCCAACACCTGTTGTTGGTGGTGTTGCTGATGATGGCTATTCTAACAGGGGTGAGGTGGAATCTTAGCGTGGTTTTAATTTGCATTTCCTTTATTGCTAGAGATGGTGAGCATTTTTTCATGTGTTTTCTGGCCATTTGAATTTCTTCTTTTGAGAAAGTTCTGTTTAGTTCACTTGCCCATTTCTTTATTGGTTCATTAGTTTTGGGAGAATTTAGTTTTTTAAGTTCCCTGTATATTCTGGTTATCAGTCCTTTGTCTGATGTATAGTTGGCAAATATTTTCTCCCACTCTGTGGGTGTTCTCTTCAGTTTAGAGACCATTTCTTTTGATGAACAGAAGCTTTTAGTTTATGAGGTCCCATTTATCTATGCTATCTCTTAGTTGCTGTGCTGCTGGGGTTTCATTGAGAAAGTTCTTACCTATACCTACTAACTCCAGAGTATTTCCTACTCTTTCTTGTATCAACTTAAGAGTTTGGGGTCTGATATTAAGATCCTTGATCCATTTTGAGTTAATCTTGGTATAGGTGATATACATGGATCTAGTTTCAGTTTTTTGCAGACTGCTAACCAGTTTTCCCAGCAGTTTTTGTTGAAGAGGCTGCTATTTCTCCATCGTATATTTTTAGCTCCTTTGTCAAAGACAAGTTGGTTATAGTTGTGTGGCTTCATATCTGGTCCTCTATTCTGTTCCACTGGTCTTCATGTCTGTTTTTGTGCCAGTACCATGCTGTTTTTATTGTTATTGCTTTGTAATATAGTTTGAAGTCAGGTATTGTGATACCTCCTGCATTGTTCTTTTGACTGAGTATTGCCTTGGCTATTCGTGGCCTCTTGTGTTTCCATATAAATTTAACAGTAGATTTTTCAATCTCTTTAATGAATGTCATTGGAATTTTGATGGGAATTGCATTAAACATGTAGATTACTTTGGGGAGTATTGACATTTTTACTATGTTGATTCTACCAATCCATGAGCATGGGAGATCTCTCCACTTTCTATAGTCTTCCTCAATCTCTTTCTTCAGAAGTGTATAGTTTTCCTTGTAGAGGTCTTTCACATCTTTTGTTAGGTTTACACCTAGGTATTTGTTAAGCAAGGTTTTAAAGAAGACTAGAAGCAAGGTTGTAAAGAACTGCAAGGAGTAAGGCCTTAAAAAATAAAGATAGAGAAAAGAAGCAATGAGGGTTGTACATCTCCACCCAAGCTCCCAACACACCTGATCCTGCTTTCTGTCTGTCTATTCTTCTCTGAATCTCCAGTCGCCTCCAGTTAAACCCAGTTAGGTTCAGTAATAACAAGGGAGGGAGCAAGAAAACAGCACCCCTCCACTGGTCCTCTTCTGTCCCTGTCCTGTACACCTTCTGCAGACTGACCATTGCCTGGTGGTGGCCTCACCTCCCTTGTAGTGATGAGTACTGTCACCTTCTGAACTACACCCATGTCACTGACCATCAGGTGGCCCTGCCTTCATGTTCCCATTAGCTGGTCCCATTCCACATGTCTGAAGTTAGACAGCACTTCTTCCCGTCCTGCCTTTGTAAGAACTTCCAGCATGCGCTCAGGCCTCACCGCTGAGTTTTACCTTCTCCATCCACCCTCCCGCCACCCGCCAGGCAACAGCAGGGAGCACAGTTAAATTTAGCACCTAAATATTTCTTGAGTCTGTTGCTTCGTATTCATCCTCACAGCTCAGACACTAGTCTGAAGGTGCCATTTTCTAACCAGATTATTCACGTGACCTCCTTAACTGGTCTCCTGCTGACCAGCTTTGTTCCAGCCTCTGTGCGTGACACCAAAGCCATCTTTAGTATGTCACCCCTATGTAGAAAGCCTTCCTTCCCCAGGACTCTTCCTATTGGGTACCTCATCCTACAGGCACCACCTCTTGGCCTTCCTCACTGCTAACCTCATCCTCCTCTGAGGCACCCTCTTGCCTCTGAGCTTCTGTATGCACTGTTCGATCAGTGGCAGGCTCTCTCCTGCTCACCCTCCACCTAGCTGCCTGCCCAGACAGGTCAGGATCCCCACACTGCACAGCAGGGAGCAGCTCTGCCTATAGCACTAGACTGCTCTCCTTGAAGCTGTTAGGGAAGATAGAACTAGAAATAAAAATCTCCTACCAACATAGAACACCTTTCCACAAATGTAGAAGGAGAAAAACCCTTTTCATTATTGCATAAGCATTTAACTTGGTGCAGTGCATATCCCAGGCTTCATTTACGGAACCAGGCCAATCCAGCCTGTCACACATGTCAGCTGTCTTCCTCCAAGGGAAAAGGCAACTTCCCATATCTTTGTAACAAGCAGCAGGCTACATCTGGGACTAAATTCTCACAGAGAGAGGGACAGGACACCACCTTCCTTCTTTGTGTGCACATTTCACAGAGTGGCTCTAAGAATGATGTCCTTAGGGTACAAAGCCAGCAAGAAGACTATTTTGCTTCTAAAATGATATCCATGCCTCTCAGAGCTAGAAGCATTTGCAGTTCCAGCTGTTCTAAAGGAAATACTAAAGAGAGATGGAGTACCAGGAATTCTCTTTGGACACCAGAAAATTTTTGTCAGTACTGGGGATTGAATTTAGGGTCACACCCCAGCCTTTCACCTGTAGTTTTTAAATAAGATCTTGCACTTTTCCTAGGCCAGCTTCAGACCACCTGGGGTTATAAGGGTTTGTCACCACACCCAGCCCCAAGGAAGTATTTAATCATTCCTTCAGACCTGTGTTAACACCAGCACCCGACCTACTTTCCGGTTTCCTTCTCTTTCCTTCCTGCATTGTGCCTTCACGACTTCAAGCCCTTTGGCTCTCGTGGTTTCCTCTCTCATTTCCCGGCTTACCTGCATCTCCAGGTCGACTGTCCAGTCTGAATCCAAGTCCATCCTAATGCCAGCTTACAGAAAATTCTATTTGCCATCTCTTACAGAGCGGGAGCCTACTGAGATGAAGGAAGAGGCCACTCCACAGCAGGCTGCTTGCAAAGCAGAAGTGTCCCAGGAGCTGATCCTGGCACGGCTGCAGAGGCCGGGTCTTCTTGGCGCCAGCCTGGGCTATACGCAGGCATGGGAAGCCCAGATGGTCACTGTGTGGAACAGCGAGGCCACGCTGCGTAAGCCAGCACCTGCCACGCGCTGGGACCTCACAGAAGAGAGCTGTTGGGGACATCGTGGGTCTGTAGAGGGATTCCCCCTCGGCTGCCCCCCGTCCACCCAGCAAGGTGTCCCTCCAGGAGAACGCTCTCCTGCCAGATGCCCCAAGGACAGCCAGACCATGTTGGGGATAACCCCAGACCACCAGAGAACGTGGCCAGGGGAGAGGGTTTTCAGGCCCGGGAAATCGCCAGCTGTGCCCCAGCAGCGAGGAGGGCTGGGGATTGGGCCCCGCACGGGCCGGGCGTCTTCACGTGCGGCCAGTGCGGGAAGAGGTTCCCGCAGAGCGCGGCCCTGGCTCTGCACCAGCGCTGGCACGTCCGTGAGAAGGCCTACCAGTGCGGCGAGTGCGGCAAGGCCTTCCCCTGGAGCACCAACCTCCTCGAGCACCAGCGCAGCCACACGGGTGAGAAGCCCTTCTTCTGCGGCCAGTGCGGGAAAGCCTTCAGCTGCCACTCGTCGCTCAACGTGCACCAGCGCATCCACACGGGCGAGAGGCCCTACAAGTGCAGCGCCTGTGACAAGGCCTTCAGCTGCAGCTCCCTGCTCAACATGCACCTGAGGGTGCACACCGGCGAGAAGCCGTACGAGTGCGGCGCGTGCGGCAAGGCCTTCAACCAGCGCACGCACCTCACGCGCCACCGCCGCATCCACACCGGCGAGAAGCCCTACGAGTGCGGCGCGTGCGGCAAGGCCTTCACCTGCCACTCGTCCCTCACCGTGCACGAGAAGATCCACAGCGGCGACAAGCCGTTCAAGTGCGGCGACTGCGCCAAGGCCTTCAGCAGCCGCGCGCGCCTCACGCTGCACCAGCGGACGCACACCGGGGAGAAGCCGTTCAAGTGCGCCGACTGCGGCAAGGGCTTCAGCTGCCGCTCGTACCTCGTGGTGCACCAGCGCATCCACAGCGGGGAGAAGCCGTTCAAGTGCAACGAGTGCGGGAAGGCCTTCAGCTCGCACTCCTACCTCATCGTGCACCAGCGCATCCACACCGGGGAGAAGCCCTTCGACTGCAGCAAGTGCTGGAAGGCCTTCAGCTGCCACTCGTCGCTCATCGTGCACCAGAGGGTGCACACCGGGGAGAAGCCCTACAAGTGCCACGAGTGCGGCAAAGCGTTCAGCCAGAACCACTGCCTCATTAAACACCAGAAGGTCCATTCTGGGGAGAAAGCCTTCAAATGCGGCAAATGCGGCGAGGCATTTGGCTGGAGCTCGCGCCTCCTGGAGCACCAGCGGCTGCACGGGGAAGAGAGGCCCTTGGCCCTTCAGCTGGGCCGCCACTTGCTCAACACCTACTACGTGCCCGGTGGCCTGCTGGGGGCGGGGGACACAGGGGAGCGAGACGTGGACCGGATAAACGCCCTGGACGTGGCAAAGCTCTTGTGTGTGGTGCAGCCCGCCGCCAGCAGGAACTTCCCTCTGGGGAGCAAGGCTGGCAATTAGGGTGACCTGCAACTGGTCAAGGTAGCCACTGCCAGAGCTGTCCCACAGGTAGGCACCCTCACCTGGCTTGCTCCTGCAGAGGCAAAGCCTGACCCCTGGCCTCCCATGGGATCCACAAGCCAGGACCCCTCTTGCTCCAGCTGGTCACGCCCCGGGAAGACATTTCAGAAGAGACTTGAGGCCACTTGAGGATGTCAGTCATCCTGTTTTCCTTAATAGGTCTGGAGGTCATTTATGAAGGGGGGGTGGGTTCTTGCCTGTATACAAAAATGAAGGCATGTCAAGTGTGGAGTCCTTAGACAGCCTCCTGACGGGTTTCAGTCAGGAATTCCCTTGTAAACTATTATGTTCAGAATAATAATTTAAAATAATAAAACAGAAGAGTTGCAAACAGGCCTACCTCCATTATAGTCCATTATTTTATTCCCAGAGGGGAGAGAATGTCGGCGGCATTTGGAAAACAGTGGACTTCCCTGACTTGCTTCAGGTGAGCTCGGGCAGAGGCTGCAGTCTGCAACAGCTCACTCAGGGTGTCCCTGCAGCAGTCTCAGCATGGTCCCTCATTGTAGTCAGGTCTGACAGGCCAACATCACACTTTGGCATTTAGCCCCTGGTGAGAAATTGAGAGCAGACAGACGCTCAGTGTGTCCAGAGAAGATGGGCATGCATGGAAACAGATGTATCTAGAAGCTTTCCTTCACTGACCGATGCTGGGCAGGCACCCCAGGCAGTGCCTACCCTTGCACCACTTAGCTCCAGTCAGAGGTGAGGCCTTCCATAGGGCCTTGTGAGGTAGTCAGCTTCATGGCTGTCCCATGTGGGGCGGTTGTAAAAAAATTCAGAAAGACATATAGGAAGACAGTATAGATGCTTCTTGGCTTAAGATGGGTTATATTTTCTGATAAACCCATCATAAATTAAAAATAATGAAGTGAAGAATGCATTCAACCCACCAAATGTTTTACAAACATCACAGCTTAGCAACACCACACTGTAGAATACCAGTTATTGTCTATCCTCATGGTGGCATGGCTGCCTGGGTGCTACAGCTCAGTGCTACTGCTCAACATTTCAAGAGAGGATCAAATGGCATTTTGCTAGTCCAGGAAAGGACAAAATTCAAAGTATGGTTTCTACTAAATGCATGTTACTTTCACACCTTGGTAAAGTGACATCGGAAGTTGAACCATCGTAAGTCAGGCATCATCTATTTTAATCTGAAATTCCTCATTTCTACTCAGTCCTATGCAAGGATAAGCGCCTTCTCGGTGATCATAGTTTGTATTTTGTATTGTTCTCTAGTTTATGAAATGCTTTCTTCCAGAAGCTAAATAACCACATTTCAGAAAATGTGTACTTAAGAAAAATAAAACACCCATAATTCTTAATAAAATTGCATTTTTCACTTTGATACACTGCCTTCTGCCTTTTTCATATAACAGTTTTACATTTCTTTAAAATTAGTGTAGGGGCTGGGTATGGTGTTGCATTCCTATACTCCCAGCTACTCAGGAGGCAGAGGTAGGAGGATCACAGCTAGAGGCTGGCCTGTGCAAGAGCATGAGACCTTATCTGAAAAGCTAACTCAAGCTAAAAGGAGTGGGGGTGTGACTCAAGCAATAGAGTGCTGCCTAGCAAGATGGAAACCCTGAGATCAAACCCTAATACTGATTTTTTAAAATAGCATATGTTATTTTTTATTATTTTTTACTTAGCTGTATAGTAGAATCTTTTCCCCAAATAACTGAATTGTCCTTATAGCTATAACTTAACTGGTCTGTTACTTACTCTTTTGTTGTATGTTGAAATTATTTCTCTATTTGGTACTATCATAAAACATTCTTGGGCTGGAGGCATGGCTCAAGTGGTAGAGCACCTGTCTAGCAAGCATGAGGCCCTGAGTTCAAACCCTAGAACTGCCAAAATGCATACGTTCATACATAATTCTTCATTAACCAGCTTTTTTCATTCTCCTTTTTGAGTAGATTTCTAGAAGTGAAGATTTTGAGAAATGAACATCTTAAGGAGTTATTTAAGTACGTTCTAGTCGTATGTTTACAAAGTAGTACAATTTTGTTAATCAGAAGTCAGTTCCAGGGTGAATTTAACTAAGAAATATTGGAAGCACTTTTGTAAATGTCACAGTGTACCCCTAGTACAACAACAATATAATAAAAAATAAAAGTAAATGAAAGAGACCTCCTCCCACCAAAAAAGAAAAAAGAAAGCAGTGTCAGGCTGGAGATGTGGCTCAATGCTAGGCACTTGCTTAGCATGCCTGACCTGCAATCCTCCTGTTCATGCTTCCTGCGTAGCTGGGATGATAGGTACATGCCACCATGCCCAATTTTTATTGGTTGAGCAGGATTAAGCAAATTTTTTGCTCAGGGCTGGCGGCGAGCCTCAGTCTTCCTGATATTCATCTCCCAAGTAACTGGGATTAACAGGCAGAAGCCACCACACTCACTTTGGTCTTCTTGAAAATTGTTTGAATGTATCTTTTGTTCCTCTTTCTAATGAAGTCTTGACATTTTCTTTTTTTTAACTTTATTTATTGTTTTATTGTTATAGTGGGGGTACATTGTGGCATTTATGAAAGTTCTTACAATATGTAAAATATTTGGAAACAATGTGTCTTAATTCAATTTCATAGCAAAAGGAATCATTTTCCAATTTTTTTATATTTATATATTTAATACATTTAATCTGTAATTTAAAACATTCTCATAAAAAAAATCTCACCACTTCCTTTCAACTCTGTACTACAGGTCTTCACCATCTAATAAGCTAATAATTAAAAGTAAAGATCTAAGAAGTGAAATTATGTGCATAAAAAATATTAAAAATCTGCAGCTAAATTTCGAGAGTAAATTTATTATCATATATTTCTGGAGATCAGAGGTCTACAATGGATCCCCAGGGTTGTGTTCCTTCTGGGGGAGACATTTTCTTAAATTTACATATAAACACCATTTTCCTCTCTGTTTGCATACATGTATATTGAAGAAATTTGAAAAAAAATCACAAAATTGTAATAAAAATGACCCTCAGTATTAGTTTGTGGTTCATTACCTGGAGATCAGTACTGTTAAGTACTGTTTTTTACATCCATTTCCTTCCAACAGTTTTCTGTGCATGTATGCATATGCTTTTTCTTTAAAAACAAAATTAGAGCCGGGCACCAGTGGCTCACGCCTGTAATTCCAGCTACTCAGGAGGCAGAGATCAGGAGGATCACAGTTCAAAGCCAGCCTGGGCAAAGAGTTCCATGAGATCTTTTCTTGAAAAACCCTTCACAAAAAATAGGGCTGGTGGAGTGGCTCAAGGTGAAGGCCCTGAGTTCAAGCTCCGATACTTCAAAAAAAAAAATAGAGGGCTGAGGGTGTGGTTCAAGCAGTAGAGCACCTGCCTAGCTAGTACAATGGTCCTGAGTTCAAACCCCAGTACCGCCAAAAAAAAAATAATTTAGATTTATATTATATATGTCTTTACCCTTTTCCACTTAATGTTTTTAATGAGCATTTTCTTTTATGAGTTATTTTTCAAAAACATCGATGGCTAAATCTATTTTCTACTTTGTATTATTGTTTGTCCATTCCTTTATTTTTGAATATCAAGATTGTATCTATACATATGTCTTTTTTTTTTTTTTGACTTTACCTCCTGAATAGCTAGGATTACAGGGATGAGCCACCGGTGCCCGGCTTATACATAAGTCTTGAACACAAATCTTTGTGCCCATCTTCCATTATTTCCTCAATGAACTCTGAGAAGTGAAGTTATCCAATGTAGGTTATGAGCATGGTAGAGTTGTTGGTTGAATCCAATACAACGGTCCAAGTTTGTACTGTCATGGTCAACTCTGACAATGCCCATGTCACCACACCTGGTCAGCACTTACTTGATCTTATCATCTCATTTTTTATTTGTCACAGGTCTGCCTCAAAACGCTTTGCCTTTGAGACTCCATTGCATCCAGGGTGGCCACAGGTGCCAGTTCTGAACTATGGGGAAAGTCTGCTAGAGATTTGAGGGAAAGTGGTTTTTTTTGGGGGGGGTTGGCAGTACTAGGGTTTGAACTCAGGGCCTCCCACTTGTTAGGCAGGTGTTTTACCACTTGAGCCACTCTCCCAGCCCTTTTTTGTGTTGGGTTTTTTTTTTTTTTTTTGAGATATAGGGTTTCATAAACTATCTGCCCAGGCTGGCTTTGAGCCATGATCCTCCTGAACTCTGCTTCCTGAGTAGCTAGGATTACAGGTGTAAGCCACTGCAAGGGGGACGTCTTTACTTTCCTGATAGGAGAACCTCTTCCTTCCTCCTCCCCATCTCCTTTCCGCATGGGAGGTGGATATAACGCCTGTAGGTATAGTTACCATCTTGCAACCATGTGACAATTGAGAACAAAAGTCACACAGTAAAGATAGTAGAACGGAGGGTGAGAAGGACCTAGGCCTTTGATGAAATTTTTTACTGTTGTTTCAGCCACAGACACTGAACCTCCTGAAGTGTTGATATAGAAGAAAAATAAACACCTGATGTCTACTTGTCATTCCTGACTCAAAGGAGGAGAGGTCTAATATTTCACTAGTAAGTAAAAGGCTGATCCTGTGGCCAGGATTGATTGCTCGTCTCATTAATGAGCTAGCTTTATAGGCCTAGTTTCTTAAAACATCAAAACAATCAGGACTAGATGCTGAATTTTACCAAGTATATTGTTCTCAAAACTAAGCATACAGTTTTCTTTTCTTCATGTGGAGATTTCACTGGATACTTAAGAAGATTTTCTGATATGATTCCATCTTTGTATATTTGAACTAAGCCCCACTTAGCAATGGTGTGGTAACATTTTACTATGTGTACACTCATCAAGCAGAATTGTTCAAATTGAGTCTCAGATTTTTTTATCTTGTCTTTTTCTTTTTCTTTTTTTGACACCAGGGGTTGAACTCAAGGCCTACACTTTGAGCCAGTCCACCAGCCCTTTTTTGTAATAGGTTTTTTTGAGATAGAGTTTCACGAACTATTTGCCCAGACTGGCTTCGAACCTTGATCTCTGCCTCCTGAGTAGCTAGGATTACAGGTGTGAGCCACCAGTGACATGCTTTATCTTGTTTTTTTTTGTTGTTGTTGTTGTTATTTTGTTTTTTGACCTGTGGCTGGGAGCTTCCTCCTGCACCCTGCAGGAAGGGCTGCACCCAACCTCATCTCCTGACAGCTGGCTAGACACCTCTGATATGACTGTTCTTCCCCTTTGCCTCAAAACAAAAAAGAAAAATCAAGCGGCTGGGGACGTAGCTCAGTTGGTGCAGTGCTTGCCTACTATGTTCCATCCCCAGCACTGCAAAAACAACAACCAGAAAATGAGGTTTCCTCCAGAATTACTGTGGTGGCAAGACAAGAATCCACGGAAGACCGAGGCGTCTACAAGGTAGGAGATGCACCGGATGGTATTACCTTGTAAATGATGATT